CCACTGCAATGCTTTCAAGTCTGATATGAAATATTACTGGCAGTAATTTGCTCATCTGCATCCCAAGAGGGACCGCCTCCTGCCAGTCTTGTTCATCTGCCTGACCATGTAGAAAGGGTGTATCACACCAACCAGCCCCCCTTCAAATTAAAACACACTCTGCATAATTACGGGAAGGTATATTAAAATTGTCAGTGAAAAGTGAAGATTGTATTTTGTATGATTTCTGGAGTGTAAACCTGGTGAAGCTAAGCTTTTCTGAAAGCAGCCAATCGACACAATGCAGGATACAGTTCTGGTCCTTGCCAAAAGCCAATCAAGATATTGTATTTATTTCATTCTTTTAATACACTTTCATGAATCTCTGTGTGTTTGTAAGTTAGTCTGGTTGTCATTTTGTTTCCTAATTTCAAATAATATTTCCTAAATCCAATAATATTGGGGTCCGACGTTGAATATGAGCCAGCTATCGGCTGACATCATGTATTTGAACTTTGCATAAAGTGCCTCTCAAACGTTTGTGCAGAATAATAAAAATAAAAATAAAAACTTTTCCAATATTTTTCATCCACTAGGAAAAATTATCTGGTATTAGGTGTCAAACTCATTTTCAGCCAAGTTAAAATCATGAATGCTCTCAAAGGGCCGGTTGTGCCAGAATGTATTAATAAAACTTTTTCACCAAACTGTTAAAATATAATTTAATTCCTAAAATTAAATCATATTGCTGAACATCTTTTCAGTCCCTCCACAATTTCGTGATAGTTTTTGTGATTTTGGCAAATTGTCACTGCAAAAAAAAAAAAATTGTGGGGATTTGTTGATTTTGCATAAATTTCCACAATAATTCTCAAGAAACTGGAGGGACTGATTGATAACATTTGGCAGTAAACAAATAAAAACTTATTTGATGTGATTGATAGCGTAACTCGGCACTTAGTTTTTAGGCGAGAATCTAGAGGGCCACATAAAAAGTTGCGGGCCACATTTGACCCATTGGTCTTGAGTTTGACATGTGTGCCTTACAGTTTGTCTACGCTATGAAACACATCTATGATCAATTTAACCATCTTCACTTTTGACTCCATTTTAACCCAAATTAGCTCAATATTTTTTTTGTCCCACAAGCTTCAATGTTAAACCACCTTATTTGCTAGGTCTTATACAATAGTTCAATAAAAACTATTGAACACATTTGTAAGGCTTGTCTTAAGAAATACATCAAGTTTTGCAAAATATCCATGAAGAGAAAAACGGCCCAATGTTGAACTTTCTCTGAAATACTGGATATCAATTTCCATGCCAGGTCCTGATAGATAGTGGCCTGTTCTTGCTTTATCAGTAATGTCAGTTCACATTTATTTTTGTTCACTCGCCTTAAAGATTGACGAAAAGTTCATGACTGGATTAAAATCGGCAAACTTTTCTAATATTTTCGAACCACAGTTATCACTTCTACCTTGTGACATGGAACTCCAATGTGCAGGAATAAAAAGCTTTTCCATCACCAAACGCTCTGAAAAGATTGAGATCCAATTCTTTACTGATAGGAAAGTGATTTGTGAGCCCAGATGCTTAAACAAGGGCCAAACCCTCAAATGGTTTGCCGCAGGGTATTTCGTTGTTAGCTTTTCTTGTCTGGACAGCAATTCTTTCAGACAATCTGAACGTCGGGAGGAGACTTCAAAGAAAATAACTTCATTCCAGTCTGCTGCTGCGGTCTGCAGATCATTGGGAAAGATGTTGGATACACAGAAATGTTTTTCTCAAAGAGAAATGATTTCTTTGCTGCCCTTTTTGATATCAAGCGTGTATCCAAAAGTCTCTGCCTCACTTCCAGGCATCCAAAACTCTGCAATTCCTGACCAAGCACTGCTCTGGTGGCAGATCGCTTAAGATCTCTGAATGGTCGATGTACCAAAATCGGTTCTCATTGTGATATTTGGGTCACAAAAATTGGATCATTGTGTTCTTTTGTTGCCCGCCCCTTCGTGCCACAACCCCAATGGCAAATTTTTGTCCCCTACCGTACGTACTGTGTGATTTGTCTGAGTCTCGTAGATGTGTTTGTTTATATGGAAAACTACTCCTCTAACTTCCAGAAACTGGATTTCCAGCCAAAGAGGCCTCAGCTGGGCTGTGGTGTTTTGTGGAGCAACTGTCCACAGCCGTGACGAAGTAAGGAAGTACATCCAGTTGGACCAAAACACTGAACGTCTCCTACTCTGTCCTGGTCCAAAAGAGCAGGCAAATCTCCCAACGACACCATCCGTTCTTTTTTTTTCCAGTAATATGGGAAATAAAATGATATCTTCTAGTTCATCAATCATTACATCCGTGTCCATCGAACTCATAAACTCATAATAGTCATTTTTGTTTGAAGGGTTCTGCAAGAACATGACTCGGTGCGTCTTGTGGACCTCGACAATCCCACCCATTAACTGCTCGACTTCGACCAGACCATTCTGGACCCTTTAATTTCCCAGTGTCCTGACACCGCTGGCTTCTCTGAATCAACCTGAAGCTCCCTTTGCATTAATTGAAGTTCTTGATGACTCAATAAATAGCTGACCCGGACAAGAACTTATTTGCCTGTGAAGCTCGTCTGATGCAAAATGACGGCGACAGCGGTATCCGTGGCTGACAATGAAGAATGATGTTAAGCACCACGCCGCTTTAAGGCAACCATTCTGTTCTTCTAATTCAATCAGAATAACAGAGTGAGATCAGTTTTCCTGTCGTCATTAACGCGTTCCCTCGAGGTAACGATACGATCACAGAACTGATGCCAGCAGTTTTTGTGGCTGAACTAAAGTGTCTGTGTTGTTGTTTTTTTTTTCTTTCATGATTTCTTTCATGATATTTATTTTCCTTGAATGTCAAATTAAATGTGTTTATTTGAACATTGTGCAAGCTAAAGTTTGCAAAAAAGCATTTGTCAATCTTAAAACTTCTGGGCATGGTTACATTGTTTAGCAGAGGGACTAAACAAATGCATAGTGTATACACAAACTATATCAATATATTCCATGCAACATAAACCAAATTTTCTGTTTTATTGTAATAAAAGATTTTTCTAGGAATAAAAAACAAATGCCATAAGACAGTGTCCAGTATGGCTTTTTGAGCACAGACTGATGTAAAAGTTGCAGGAAGCCTTGGAAGACCTGGATTGTAAACTCCACTTATTGTTTCCAAAGAACAAGAGACCATCTACCGATACATTGTCTCTGTTGTAGTCAATTGGTGCAGGTAATCCTTTTGTCCTGCTCTATACTTTTTGTGTTTTATTTGCATTTGTTACATTAAAACTTATTTCACCAGAACAGTTTCTCTGTTTTGCTATTTTCCTGCCCGGGGCCTCAGCACGGCTGTGGTGATTGATTGCTAATACGTGTATCATCCCTTGTGGGAATATACTCCTGTTTTGTTTGCTTAGTGCATCTTTCTCATCATCACCCTTCACCTACACCGTTGTCATTTGTGCTCCAAGTCTTGTCATGTTGCTTCGTGTTTGGTTGTTTACATTAAGTTTCTTTCCTGCTGTTCGGTGCCTTGGTTTCTCCCTCAAAACATATTTTCTCCCGACGCCGAGCTGCTTCCCGAATCTGGGTTCTTACTGCGCTTCAAATGTGGCACTGTGAGATGTGTGCCTATGGTTCAGCATTGCATATAAATCCCTACACCTTGTCTGAAGCTGTAGGTCTGGAACTAATACTTTACAAACCAAAGAGATGACTAAAAAGCAGATATTTTGGTATTTTCACAAAGTTAAAGTAGAATCTGTTCAGATTGTTAATTTTCTAAATCGGATCAAAATGTACTTTTTGGCATCACTCTCCTATAAAGTTTTCATCTGTACAAATCTTTATTGCAATAAAAGACATGAAGGAGTTTGCTACGGTCTTGAGAAGATGTTTTTTTTTTTTAAATCAGGATGTTTTCTCTCCAAATAACAGAACAGCTAGTACTGTCATTGCTTACAAATGAAACTGAAAATATGTTGACATATTTAGTGTGATTGCTGGGAACTCTGTATTAGATTTTTCTGACATGTAGCAGCTAAAAAAAATCCTGATTATTAGGATGAAGTCTGAAGAGCGTTCTTAAGGGTTTGAAACATAAACCACACATGGGGAAGTTTAGCATTAGCTTGGCCTTGAATGTTAGAAGTTAACTATTGTTTGTGTTGTCAGTTTGAACACAGTTATGTTTTTTAATGTCCTTAGTTACTGCATTATTCCAGAAGTGTAAGATCTCTTGATATTTAGACCAAGAAACAGCAATAAGTTAGTTGTTAGCATCTCTTTATGATGTGTGAAATAAGTCAAAGCTACTATGATTTCTGAATATGGCTTGTATCTATAAGACTATGACATGTATCCACAGGAAAAAGTAGTAGTTCTTGAGTTTTTTTGTTGTGTGTGACAGAAATTAAAAATAAAGACCTAGATAAGCTGAAATCAAAATGAAAATCAAAATGTAGTCTACAAACTCTGAGAATGATGCAACCTAACCTAAACCTGGCTTTTGGTTATTAAAATTAGCATCTTATTTGCAGATTCCTATCAGAGCTAAGCTTAAGGGGATATACCACAGTTATTCATCATGTCACAACTATGTTTGATCATCTCCAGTTCAAACTGGACCGACTTTTATTGATCAAACTGGAATTGAACCTTTCTGGAGAGAACAGCAACTATTTACGAAACACAATTGGAGTTTTAGGAAACCCTTCCACTTGAAAAAACACAAACGGAAAATATCCAACACCTTTTGTCACCAGATCCATCTTAGAATTAGGCAAACATAAAAATGTTGACAAATGGGAGATTCAAAGCTGAACTGGAATATTCTACTCTAACCACATTTTGCAAAACGGTGAAACGCTTATCAGAAAAAAAATATTGCTAGAATATTGTCTCACTGCTGTGGTCCCAGTGTCACCCATTTTCTCACCCTCCAAGTTAAGCGTATTTTCAGGCCCGTGTTGGACTTACTTGATCGCAGGGCAGATGTTGTGACCTCAATCTCACTGCCAGCTTGGTAGGGCTGGAATGCTGACGCTGAATTCATCTCGCTGGCAAACGGTTCTGGGCTGTGCGTTCCCGTAGAGCTGGCGCTGGTTCCGTCCCCTCCATTGTGTGGATCCTGCTCTTCGTACACTGCAACCAGCTGAGGAGACAATGAAACGAATGCTTTCACATACTGTATCTTTTTATCCGCACAATGGCGCATTAGTGCCAGACACTCTGCATTCGCTACAGCCAAAATCACTCCAAGTGGCATCATTTCACTCCAAAGCAATGTGTCATTGTGGAATTTTATTACAAATAATTTGTTCTTTCGGGGGAATTTAGCAACATGCGAGCAGAGGCTTATCTCGGAAACATGCATTTCTGTAATGGTGTGGGTTGCTCTGGGTTGCCAGGTTTAGCTTCCAGAGCAAGCTGATACTCCGTTCTAGCAAAAAATGATTCGTTGCCATGTTTCCCAGGCCAGATGGAGAAAACTCCGCAAGGCATCGCATGATCAGATCACCACCGCTCATTATCGGAGCCAAAATGGCCGAATAACGAAAGGAGAATGTGTAACATAACTCAGCAGAAGAAGACAAAACGTCAGCTGATGGGAAGTACCCAGATGATTTAAATTCTTTCTGAAAGTCTGGTGGATTTCAAACCCTTGCTGAAATAACTCCAGACAGAAGGAATGCAATACTGCACAACCTTTGGTAGCAGGGAGGACACGGCAGTGCCAAGTGGCTTTTTCATTTTCAGCTGAATCTGCTGCTGAACCTCTCAAAAGGGGATTAACCTCCACCTGAGTCCAGACTAAGCAACCAAATAGCAGCAGAAAGATGTGCAGCATGCAAGACGAAACAACAACGCATACATTAAAGACTTGAAATGAGTTTTTAATATTTTTCTGCTACCTGCAAACACACACGCACACACACACAAAGATTTTGTCATTCATGAATATCATATTAGGTTGATCTGAAAGCAAAAATATATATATAATAATAACAGTTTTCCTATGTATTTGTTATTTTTTCATCTCCCCAACACAGGAAAATCTGCATACAAACAAGCTGAAACGTGTCTGCTCCTCTGTTTGATTTGGTTCATATCCACAAGAAGAGTATTACACTTAAGCGTGTTCGTGTGTTTGTGTGTGTCTGCATATGAATTCATGCCGCTCCGCATGTATGCCCGTGTGGTTTACGCCAGCTGTAATTCACAGCAGCGTCTCTCACGCTGGCTTTGCACAATTAAAGCAGCCTGGGTTTCCCCCCCTCTTCTTTTCCTTCCCTTAAGATGTTTTGCCGCGTGCCAGTGCCGTCTCCGAGAACCCTCTTTATCACCGAAAGCTTTCATTTCACCCTAATCACGTTCCATCCCGATGTTAAAATTACATTCCTCAGATTGTAAGGGTTTATCACGAATGTGCTCAGCACACCAGAGAGGCAATCAGAAACGAAAGCGATCTGCTACTACCAGCATAAGAGGAGGCATCATAGCTCAGGCGTGCTTATTGGTAAATATGCGAATTCACGAGTGAAGGCGTAAAAGACGGCGTACTTTTGGTTTGACTGCAAACAAACTTAAACGGGAGATTAAAGAGTAAAAAGCGATGTGTGCATCTTGGGCGAGTTCTTCCAAGAAGAAGGGTTAATGCGCTAAATATTTTTGTAGAAATGAAAAGAAGAGGGCCTGAAAGACAGGAAGATTTTTTGGCGTTTGTGCCGGCCTAGTGTGATGCGTGCGGGCCGGGCCAGTGGATCATCAGCAATGAAATAATCAGGCCTCCCATTCATGTCTTACTGGGAGTATTTAGCAACTCGACAAGCCATGTGTCTGCCAGCTGCCCATTTAGGGAAGTGCTTAATACTGTTGTTGCTATCTGGAGGAAAGCGCTATTCATTTTTAAATACTTTTAAAGTCTCATTAATTAAGTCAGCTTGTCTTGCCCACCACTAAGCACTCTGTTTCATAATCAAATTAGTCTATTCAGGATTTACGACGTCCAGCACTGAGCAGTTTATTCTGCTATAAACCAGGAATTGAGGATGCAGAATGTGAATAGATCCGCACATAACTGTTGATTTGTCCTAGAATAAAACTCTTTGGTCTGGAAGTTGTCACTGAGGAAGGAAGACAAATTTATTTATTCTCAGGATGAGTATGTTTAAAAATGCTTGGCCAAGTAATCACAAGATGCATGATGTTTGAAAACAACTTGGAGTGAGTCAAAGCTTTCAAGCAAACCAAAGTAAGTGACCTTTCACCGGTGCAGACAGAGAATCTGCATAGTTTCAAAAGATAAAATAATGTAAATATTGGTTAATTGCTGCAAAACCTTGCTTAGAATTTATGTAAATACCAGAGCAATGGCACACATGCAGCTTGATTTTGAAGATATTAATAAATACATCTGACATATTCACTCTCTATTGTGGCATTTAGCGAACAGAAATGATTTTGGTCAATCTTACAGAGAAAACAAGAGAAATGTGTTAATTGTTTTGTTTGATGTTTTTAAACGTCTGGTTTTAACTGCATGTGGTACATGGGGCAGAGTTACGCTTGTCTGTGTTACAGTGTCAGAGGCTTAGGAGGAAGACACTAGAGCATTATTTACCTCATGCAGCACATGTTCCTATAATGCACTGAAAAAATGTGTGGCAGGGTGCACATTAATAGGTTTATCTACTTTCCAAAAGTTGTGTTTTTTTTTAGTTGGAGAAGGCTTTAACTTTTATTTGACAAAGCTTACACGGAAGACTGTGAAGTGTCTTTGGAACAGCAAGTAGATTTTTCCAGACACCAGGTTTTCACTTGTCTCTCTTGCATGTCTCGGAGCTTTTTCTCGTGCCGTTTTGACCTCTGTCTGTGTAAGGAAGAGCAGGGCACCCGTGGCCGGAGGGAGAACTGACGCAATTTTTGCTTTTGGTGAGAAAGAACTCGAACTGCTAAAGTAGTGAATTTCATCACAGAGCGCTCGTCTGCTCCTGGGAATTGATCCCGACCACTTCAGACCACACACAAGTTCACACTTCTTTTTGATTTCTACTTTTGATTATTTTTTCCCCTCTCTTTTATTCACTCACCGTCTCCTTTAAGCTACTGTACAAAGGATGCCGGAGATAAACTCAGATGTTTTTGAAGTGAGAGAAAACTTTCTAGGCCAGGAGACACGATGGCTAATTGGTGAGTGGCGTGACAGCCGAGGCTGAGGGAGACTCTAAATGAAGTGATGCCACAATGAAACACACCAATCAAAACCAGAGATATGAAGAGGCAGAGAGAAAGCAGAAAGATTTAGGGGAAGAAGGGGGAAAAAAATGTCCAGTTTCCGGGCTTGGGATAAACTCCAAAGTGGTTTCAAAAACCTATTTAGCTCCCACCTGCTTCAGTTGAGAGAACCGTGGAAAAGCACGGAGCTGGCAGTCTTATTTCATGGACCTCTCTCTCTCTTTCCCTCTAGGAGAGAGCTACAACACAGATGCTGCTTTAAGCCCCTGTAGCAAGGCTGACACTCATCCACTTTCAGCCTATTCCACTGACTGTCACAGCAGCTGCCAATCAAGCGCTATCTACCTGGAAGCCCGAGGGGCTGTTGGGGGAGAGGCATGAGCGGGGGAATGGATAGAGATGATGTTGAACGGGTGAAACGAAGCGGGGGATTGAGGAGGAAGTGGAAGAAAACAGAAAGTCAACTGAGGCCAAGCGTTTTTCAGTTGCGTAGGTACAAGCTGTGTTCGGTATTTCCATATCATTAAATGGAGTGAGCTGGCAGACAGTATTTATAAAAAAAAAAAAAAAAATGAAATTCAGGGATGCCTTTCATGTTGGCCTCCTTTGATCACCTCCCGGCTTTTGGCAGTAAGGTGAAGAAGGAGAAGAAATGGAGAGGAGGTAGCTGAGGGGGGGAATGAGAAGCGGTTTTGACAACCTCTTTCAACATCTCCTCTCCGCATCTGCTCTCTTCCTCCGCCACCCTACCCAACACACCGGCCTACCAGAAACTGTGATCTGCACGGATGCATGGGCGATTGGGATTGGCGTCGCTGCAAAATGCCTGTCCAAAACACTCGCCAAGTGGCACGGGAAAGGAGTAAGACAACAGAAGCTATTAGCAGCTGTTTGCTCTAGCAGTGCCTTTGTTTGCGCTGCTGGTATATTCGTACGCTGGAAACATTTACAAAATTAGTTACTTTAGCATGGAAAACGTTTATATGCATTGTATATGGTGAAATTTTAAGTAGCAAATTAACACCTGAATGGAGCAGCTCTGTCAGAATGGTTTAGTCAAAGTCCAGGCTTGAATCAAATAGAGAATGAGTTGCAAAAATTGAAAAAAAAATTGCTTTCCACATCAAAAGAGATTAATTTTGAGTTTTTTTACATCTATTTACCCAAAGCTCCACCGACAGCTGAGCTTCCGCCCCCACAGAGGAGTCTTACCCTGCACGGTTCCTCCAGACTAGCGGCAGCAACAATTAGCAAACATCTGGTGGAAGTGTGCATCTACTGATCTCATTATATGAACTATTTCTCAGACCAACACCCCTAAAGACGGTTGTAAATAATGGAGTGTTTTGTGATGACGTGCTGGTTGGGGAGTGTCAAAAAGAACTTCTTAAAGAGACAGAGGGCCATTTCAGACACAAATGAAAAGTTTTTTTGTTTTTTTCTTTTTTTTTAGATATTCAGCATTTTTTTAACAACTGAAGGCTATTTAGTTATTTGATTGTGATATAAAATGACACTATGTTCCTGGAAAATACATATAAGTTAAGATTCATAAAAAACACTGCATCCTTTTCCCGTCACTTGACAGTTATTGACACTCCGTTTTTGTTTCGTGAAATGAAGTTACTGTCCTAAGGGTATGAAATATTTAACAAAGAGCTATATAGTGGGAAAAGTAAACACGTATCTTGACACTCACAGAGACAGACAGTGCTTCATCTCCCCTCTCGCTGCCATTTATCATCATTTTACTGCAAGGGCACCGGTGGCACAAAGTTATTATAGGTACAGTAGAGGTGGAACAATGAAGTAACATACGCCAGAGAATCCAAGGACTTCAAACTTGTTGAGTTATGGTTGTGAGACACCATAAATCATCTACACACTACTCGTCTTTCCATCCATCTGTCTGTCTAT